TTTGTGGAACATTCTACGTCATTCCTCGAACATTCTGCCTATTTCTCATTGTTCGCTTTGTGTTGCCGCAGTATTCGCCACAGTCAATTTCAATTTACGCTCTTGGTTGACAGCGCAGCCAGGGTTCGGACTCCCCTACGATCGGTAAACTGAAAATCTACTACGCAACTCGATACCGGCGAACTACTTAGATTTGCTCGGGACAAAGCAAAGCGTATTAAATATGCTTTTCCTTTTTAATAAAATCATGAGTTATTAAATTTTGAAGGGCCCTCCAACTTAGTAATTTTCAAATAAAGCATTCAGTTGAGATACTCCCAAGCACATATGTATATAAGCACCTGTGGACGAAAATAAACTATAATGCACGTTACTATTTCATTTCGTTTATTACTTCAAGAGTTCGGTGCAATACGAAAACAAAACATGCCGGCCCTTTTTTGTTAATTTAAGTTAACTTAACTTTTTATTAAAAATATAAAAGTACATTTAAACACACATAAGTAAACGTGAATCTCTGTGTACATATATACTATTTACAAAAATGTACAACTAAATTCAGTGTGCTCATTACTCCATAATTACAGTTGTAAGTCACACGTCATGTGGATCTAGCGGCAAAGTGCTTTCGCCTACGATTTGTTCAGGGAATGCCAAAGCCATTAATACTGGTTTCTTCTCAGGGTAAATATTAAAATGCCGGTGCAAAAAGCTGTCATAGTAGCCCATGCCGTGGCCCATACGACCGCCACTTAGCGTAAATGCAACACCGGGCATCAAGAACAGATCAACGCCGCGACCATTTGTTAGCGAATTCTCACGTCCCTCCTCTGCACTAGGTTGCTTTATATTCCATTTGGTTAGTGGCAGCGCCTCGTAGTCCGGCCAATCTTTGACGCGCACCATTTCCATAAGCTTGCCGCTGTACGTGGGCACAAAAACATTTTTCTTAGATTATGATTGTTAAATAAAATACAGCCGATATTAAGCACGCTCCGGCCTTGCTGTGATCGAACCGGTACTGTATACTGTGCTTTTACTACACCAAAACTTTAAATTTTTTGCATGAATTGCCCTATTTGTCATGCCTTATCAACAATTACCTGCTCCAACTAGTGCCGCATAAGTTATCTGCTGCTTGAGCATGGAATTAAAATCAAGCATCCACTTGGGTGCCAGGGGTTATCAATGACACTAGGGCAATCTGCAGCAGTTTTGTTGTTTTTGTGAAAGCCAGTGTTTGTCGTCTAAATGTTTATCATGTGATTAGTTTGCATTGCCGATTTGCTCCGGGCCTATAATTTATTGTTTACAAGGCTCATCAACAAATACTATGCATATTTTTAGTTACTTTAAATCAAATTATCAAACGTTCCAGCCCACTTGCTATCTGCGATTTTTTTGGTTGCCCTTACTTACTTACTTTTGTTTTGGGTGGCAGGCCATGTAATTACACAAATTAACAAAATGACAGCTCACCGATGCGAGCACAGAAATCAAAGTCGATAACCGTGTGTCGATGCATAAACATGAGGTACCCCACACACTTTATGCAAAACTCATGCAAGATTATGTACACTATACACTATCACAAGACAGTGATATATGAGACCACCCGTACCATAATATATACGAAATTTACAATAACCACATATAATTAAGTTTCTTTGCTACTCGCCACCCAACCATAATATACATATATATACAAGTACGTATATCTATATAGCCAAATATACACAAAAGGGAAAAAATAATGATATCAGACATCAACGATGACTCGCTTCACCTCGATGAGAAAGAAGGCCGAGGAACAATCAAACCGCTTTTCTCTAGCGTGCCGTTTATGCCAAGGTATGCATCCGATACGGCTCTGCCCATCATTCCGCGGTAAAACTCCCGAAGAGAGACTGAGGGAGGCACTGATTGGTCGCTTCTGCGGAAACTGCCTGTCCATGATGCATCGGTCTGACGAGTGTACGAGCGAAGAAGGATGTCGTCGGTGCCGCGAAAAACACCACACAACGCTGCACATGGATGACGAATCCGAACCCCTTCAGCCGATTGATACACGCCCATGGAACGAGCAAGTTGCTAGTGAGGACGAGTCCGAACGCGCGTTATCTATCAACGCGTCCGACCACGCAGATGAAACCAGGCCGCTCCGCCCAGAAGATGAACCAGCAGAATCCACACCGGAATCTGGGACTCCCCTCCCGACTATAACCAGGGGATCGGAAACTCGGCCTTTCCGACCCCTGTTAGCGCACGAACGACGCCGAGAACGTGGATCGGAAACACGGCCTTTCCGACCGCGGTCAACAGCCCGGCAGAACCGTAGAGCGGAAACTAGGCCTTTCCGCCTGCGGCAAAAAAGAGGAGTCAAACAGGCCCAATCGCGATCAGGGTAGACTGGAGACGAGGCCTCGCCAGCTATCCATCGCATTTCGAGCGGGTCGCCTCGCACGCGAAACCCAAGCGTTGCGACCGGTCACGTCTATTGCTCCGACGGTCGTGGTAAAAATAGAAGCTCGTGGACGGCTGCACCTTATACGCGCGTTAATCGACGTATGCTCTCCGACTTCTATAATTGCAACAGATTTAGCGGTAAAACTCAGGCTGGACGTTTCAAATTTCGGAACCCAACGTGGCTGTCTACTGCGTCTGAGGGGAAAACACGGCCAGAACACCAGGTTGGCTATCCACGCCACAATGATAAACAATTACGTCCGTGTTAGCCCCACTAGTAGCGTCGATCCATCAGTAGCGACAGCGTATACGCACATACGATTAGCGGATCCAAACTTTTATACGTCTACACCGATTCGCTTAGTACTGGGAGCCGACGTATACCCAGACATCGTACTGCCGGGTATGCTCCCAAACACGTTTGGTCCCTTTATCGCGCGAAGCACAATTTTTGGATGGATGCTCTCAGGAGTATGTCGCTCCTAAATTCAATTTTTGATTTTTTTTAACATGAATTTTTTACTGAATTTTGAAATTTTTTATCAATAAATGTGCTCTGAAATGTTCAACCATACCTTTTTCATTAGTATTTCTTCCTTTTATTCTTTCATTAGCTAGGAAACTAAGACGTGGACCACCGGAACTTGGAGGCATCCTGCCACTGGAAACAATACTAATCTTTTTTTCTCAAATGAATTGTTATTTTACATATATTTAGACTGTTTTTTTCTACTTCTTAGTACTCAGTCCGGCGTGGTGGCTGAAGCGCTCGACCGATGTTGCTGATAGCAAGGGGCCGGCATGTTTAGGCCTTCATGAAAAACCAAATGATTTAAAGGTCGAACCACCCTAATGTAAAAGTGTATTGACTTGAGCCGACCACACAAACATACTCAGGCATATATACAGCCTACCTTTATTGCTACGCCGTTAGCAATAAATGTATTATTTCCCGTTGTAATATAATTTCGTTAAGTTTCCCCTCCGAGCAGTTGGCTGCCGGCGGGTAAACTTAACTTTGTCAAAGCGGGACCTTTTCACTTCATTCGAGCTATCAAGGAGACCGGACGACTTCAGCCATCACCCAGCGATACATATTAAAAGGTAATCATATTGTACACCCACTGAGTTATTTGATAATAAAGCCAATTGAAACTCAAAGCTATTATCCACTAATACACTTGGTTGTGTTTCATTTCATTTTCTTTTTTCAATTGAAATTGGTGCTACTGCGGGAGTTGCGACCCACTGGTTCACCGATCGTTCACACACAATAATTTTGTTTACATTCACTGTTGCCAACTTGCACTAAATTTAGTGCGCATTCAAAGAGCGAAAAAATTTTGAGTTTGGTGATTGGTGCGTTTTTGGTGTTTAGTTTGAAAACACCAAATTTGTAAATATTAAAAAAATGGAAGCAAAATCTATAGCAATCGTAAGCGAATATGTGGCAGCACCTTCAATCATGCCAGAATAAATCGACCGTCGAATAAAACACATTGATTTTTATTAATTTGAATCGGCATCCTACTATAAAATTTTTTATGCATATAAAGCCTATTAAATACCATACAAATTTGATGTTTTTTTTCGAGAAAACGCCATTTTTCTCGGGTTTTAGTGCTTTTTCAAATTCAGAACGTGGCAACACTGCCGTTTGTTCGATTCTTCCTCTTCTTCTTGTTGAGTTCGTCTTAGCTCTCTCATTCTTGTATATGATGACGTCCAGTGATGATAAAGTTGACACCACATAGACTTTTTGGTACTACAGTAAAACCCGCTTAAGTACCCCACGAAAAATGTCAGCTTTTTGAGGTACTTAGGCGGGTTGGGTACTTAAAAGAACCCGCTTAAGTACCTCGACGCGGGTACTTAAGCGAACATAATTACTGATGTAGTTACATCTTCTTGTTACCTTACATAAATACTTAATTAACTACACTTAATGAAGTATACATAGTTTAAATCCAAAATCGTAGCATTATTTAAACACACAAACAAATAAAGAACAACTTTATTAAATAAAATATATAATGCAATGGTGTGTAATTTTTACAAGAATTAAATTGTTTAAAAAGTCAAAGTGGGACATATCATTTTGTACCAAATTCAAAATGATATTATTTGCCACTTATGTTTTTTATTTTTTATTACTTATGTTATTAATTTTTGAGATTTTATAAACCTAAGCTTAAGATTTTGTAGAACACTTAAAAAAGAGATTCATCATAATTTCAAACTTTTTTCTCAGAAGTGCTTTTTGAGTATACAGTTTTATAGCCCATTCAATTTTGGAGTAAAATGTGCAAGTTTCAAGGGGATAAAAATTACCGTTGATTTTTTAGAATTTTTTTACCGAAGTTGTGTAGCGCTGCTACTGAATTTCAAAATACGTAAATATTTTAAGGAATTTTAAAAGAGCACTTAAAAGGGGAAAATTCTAAGTAAAATTGTAAATGGGGCACGAAAAATTTAGGTACTTATGCGGGTTGGGTAATTAAGCGGGGAGGTGCTTAAGAGAGGGATTTTCTTCAGATTATATTAAAAAAATCACGGTGTACTTAAGCGGGTTTCACTGTATTCGAAATGCAGCGCCGTGTATATTTCGATTGGTTTTATATTTGCATTGGTTTAAAACTTCTACTTATTTATACAAATACTTTCTTCCTTCTCTTCTTCTTCTTATTTGGCGCTGTAACCGCCTAAGCGATTTTGGCCGAGTTCAACAAAGCACGCCAGTCGTTTCTTTTCTGTGCCAACTGGCGCCAATTGGAAATGCCAAGTGCAGCCAAGTCCTTATCCACCTGGTCTTTCCATCTCAGTGGGGGTCTTCCTCTTCCTCTGCTACCAACAGCGGGTTCCGAGTTGAATACTTTCAAAGCTGGAGCGTCGGTGTCCAATCGAAAGACATGACCAAGCCAGCGGAGCCGCTGTATTTTAATTCGCTGCACTATGTTGATGTCGTTGTAAAGCTCATACAGCTCATCGTTCCATCGTCTACGGTACTCGCCATCGCCAACGCGTAAAGGCCCGTAAATCTTCCCCAAAATCTTTCCCTCTTCTCATTGTCCATGCTTCTGCGCCATATACCAGCACGGGCATGATGAGTGACTTATAGAGTGTAGTTTTCGTGCGTCGAGAGAGGACTTTACTCCTGAATTGCCTACTCAGTCCAAAGTAGCACTTGTTGGCAAGACTGATTCTGCGTTGGATTTCCACGCTGATATTATTATCGGTGTTAATGCTGGTTACCAAGTAAATGAAATTATCTACTTTCTCGAAATTATAACTGTCAACAGTGACGTGGTTTCCAAGACGCGAATGTGCTGACTGTTTGTTTGATGACAGGAGATACTTCGTCTTGTCCTCGTTTACCACCAGACCCATTCGCTTTGCTTCCTTATCCAACTTGGAAAAGGCAGAACAGACTTCGCGATTTTCTCCAACATCCGATTAAAGAAGTCACATCTTCCGTCTCTACTTCATATAAAGTTCGACTACATTTGTTTTACATTACAAGGTTGGCAATTCCGATTTCTTATAGAAATGGTTTTGTCTTTTTTACCTCATGCCTTTTCTACCGCAGCACGAGAACTTAAAAAAATTTTTATGCATATTACGAGTTTTGGCAAAAAATAAAATTAATTAAAACCGAACTGAACGATCCGATGTTTGCAAACCGTTTTAAAATAGCTCAAGTTCTATTCCACATTCATTTCATTTCATTCATATCATAATCATCAAAATGGTGATATTAGTACAGTAAGAATTGCCTTCTTTTTTAGTACAACAAATATAGGTACAAAATACAATAGAGCTTACATTGAATATGAGACAACAGATCGAACTAACACTGAATATGAGACAATAGATAGAACTTACACTAAATATGAGACAACAGAGCAATACCTACAACCAAATGTTAAAAATTAAAACGAAATGTAATTACCAGGGAACGGATTTCATGAAAATTGCCTTTTTTCTGCTAAAGAGATAGAGTATATTCG